AAATATGTTTTATTTTAAGATCCAAAGTCATGAGTAAAATGTGTTTCTATCTTTTTGTCACAGCCAGTAATTTCTAATCCAAAGCATGAAAGCATGAAAGTCATTGGTGATCTTGGTGACAGTAGGGATTAAAAGTCAGGAAGACGTGAGCAACCCAGAAGAGTGCCCTAAGTCAGTACAGGGTCATCTGAGCAGAAAGAGAGCAGAATGGTGGTGACCAGGGGCAGCAATATGAGCTTTGGGCCCCTGACAGTTTAATGCTCTGGGCCCTCCTCCACAGACAGTTTTCATTCTTTTGTATAATTATCATTCTGTCAGTTCCTCTTGAGCCTCCTTTCTTCTTAGAGCCTAGAAAATCCCACACCTCTTTATGGCACCCATGATGGTGGCTTGTTTAGAGCCACTGGAGATTTGTTTGTGTTTGAAAGACTATGAAAAGCAGGTGACGTGATTCATGTGCTGGTACCAGAAAGCTTTCTGTTCACTCGGGTGACGTCCTTCAGCCCTGCACACTCCCCCTCTACTGACTACACCTTTGGAAATACCTCCTCTTCCATCTGCTCTGTTGCGGCTATAGGACTCCAGAAATATATAATAATACTCTGCAAGTTATCTCTGTACCACTTCGTTTTCTAAAATGAAACAAACTCTGCCCTGATTTTCTCAAAGCCACTGTAACTTCAGGTCAGGTCTTTGGACGACTAATTTTAGAGTGTAGAGGTCTATATTGTCACCCTATGGCTGGTGCAGGAGATCATCAGATGTTTCATTCAGAATGAGTTGTTTTCAAAATGAGTTGTTTCACACAAAATGCACATGCAAAGCCTTGAATATTCTCTTTAGATCATGTCTGGCTAAGAATGCCTTTTACACATTTGTTTCTGCACTGCCGTTATCAATTTTGCCTTAGAAGGAAATTAAATTCTTTCGAAGCTTGTGGATACTCATAACTCAAAACAACTCTAAAGTGCATATTGAAAAGAACCAAATAAACTATTCGAAATGGCTTAGTATCTGGTAACATTACTACTGTTTAAAAAAAAAAAAAAAAAAAAGTGCATCAGCAGCGAGTGTAGGAGAGGTTGGCCTAGTTTTGGCTTTTTGTAGCAAGGGTGGGGAGAAGCCTGCTGGCTAATGATAGATAAGTGTGTTGATGGACCATGAGGAAGAGTTGAGTTTCAAGGTGTCTTGTTTTCCTGGGATTTCATGAAGAATGCCGTGTTAAATGATGCTACTGGGAGGTAAGAATGAGCTCATAGATCATTGGGAATACAAACGTGTGTGGGCAAGGACGAGGACAGAGACTGTGTGTATAACATTATAACACACAATGTGTACAGTATGTTTAAGCTGAAAGGATAGACATGATGACGATGGGTTGGTGGTGTTTAACATTTTCAAACTCGCTGATCCATGTTTTCTTCTTAATTCAGTCAGAGATCTGACAAACCCATGTGCTCTAAGGGAGGTGTGACCCTATGTTTGTAAGAGGTAGGAGTAAAGTGGAGAACTTGGTGGAAAAACCCAAGTGAATATGTGAAGAATATGCAAAACGCTACACAGACAGTAACATGAGCTCAGGATTGAACCTGGGAGCCTGGAGCTGTGAGGTAACAGCACTACCCACTGCACATATCATGCCACCCCTTAATGGTGTAGTGCTTACATTAATTTTAACGTTAATGGAACAAAATGACATTTTTTTCCAGCATACAACGGTAAAAGTGAAGAGGCAAAAAAAGGCAAAGGTCTTTTGTTTTCTCACCATTTTCCAGTTAGTTGCTATTGGAAAGGGTGTGTCAGCTAGAGAGCTGTCCAGGAGTGTCTGGAGTGTCCCTTTTATGTAGGTCATAAAGGGTTTAACCTCAATCTTGGTTGATACGTTCTCCTCCTCTTTTGAGTGCGTGTGAATTTCTTAAGTGCCTCTCATGGGACCCATAAGCTTGCCACAGGAAATGGAAGAACAAAGACGGAGGTCTACTCAGTACAGCTGAATGACAGTGTTGGAATATGAAATATGTTTGTGTTGAAGACTTGCAGATGTTTCTGCTATCAGAGAAACATATCCAGTAATGTACTGTAGCTTCCAAGCTGAAGGTTTGGAAGCATGTTAAGATTGTTAAAGCCACGTTGATTGTTTTATTGGTCTTTCAGTATTTGTGTGAGGAGCATGGGACTGAGAACATGACAGCAAGGACTGCAAATGTGGTTGCTTCATGGTTAAGGGTCTCTGCGAGTTCAAATCCTAGAACTGGAGAGCCCTTGTTGGGCCTTTGAGTAAGACTCTTAACACCCAGGTGTTGGGTTAGGGTCATATCAAATAGATAGAACGTCAATTACCTGTGCAAAAAAAAAGCACCCACGCTCATGGCAGGTGGGCTGTCATTTCAGTGTCCAACAGTTTTTACATCCTTTCATAATGTGCGAGCAGTAGAGAGTGTGGCATGTGTTGAAACTCATTGATCGATTTACTTGGGAGAATCCAAGAATCACTGGCTGTATCAGGGGTCAAAACACAGGCAGGCAACATCAAACATGGGTAATCCATAATCAGTGTTGAAACAGGCAAATCTCGATAAACAAATATGGAAACAGGAAAACGAGGCTTGGACTAAAAGACACAAAAACCATGATAAGTCTTCGCACTGGACAATGACACAACAGGTTATACAGAGAAATTATTCAAACACTAACACAGAACAGGTGAACACAATTGTGTAACAAATCAATTACAGGACAGTGGCAGAGACAGGACTAGAAGAGAAACCAAAACGTGAGCACATGGCGTTTTTTTGCCATGGGAATCGTGGAGTGAAGGGGGAAACTGTGTCACTGAGATCCCATTTCCAATTTTGAGATACATTATATGGCCAAAAGTATGTGGACACCTGACCATCATACCCATTTGTGCTTTTTGAACATCCCTTTCCAAAGTTGGTTCCCCCTTTGCTGCTATAACATCCTCCACTCTTCTGGGAAGGCTCTACCCTAGATTTTGGAGTGTGGCTGTGGGACGGTCTGCCCATATAGCCACGAGCATTAGTGAGGTCAGGTACTGATGTTGGACAAGAAGGCGTGGTGCACAGTTGGCATTCCAATTCATCCCGAAGGTGTTCAGGGGGTTGAGGTCAGGACTCTGTGTGGGCCACTCGAGTTCTTCCACACCAACCTTGGCAAACCATGTTTTCATGGAGCTTGCTTTCTGTATAGGGGCATTGTCATGCTGGAAGAGGTTTAGGCTAAGCCCCTTAGCTCTAGTGAAGGGAAATCATAATGCTACAGCATACAAAGACATTCTAGACAATAGTATGCTTCCAACTTTGTGGCAAGCTTTGGGAAAGCCCGCACGTGAATGTGATGATCGAGTGTCCAGACACTTTTGGCCATATAGGGTACTTTGTTGGATTCCATCTCTTCTTAGATTGCCATTAGCATCATTGTTGCATTACCATATTAACAAGCAAGCGGCCACAGAGATTCGGCATTGGGGCAGATAAGCTGACCTGTCTCTGTGTCTTCCAGCTACATACTAAATACTGACTTGTTTGTCTCATTATGTAACACTGTGTAAGGTAACGGCTAAGCAATCCTAGCGTTGTGTTATAGGCTGTTCAGCTATCTAGCTGCCTTCCTCATGTGAGATATAATGCGCCAGCTCTGTGCTTGGACTGCATCCTCCCTCATAATCACGTCTGCCTGATGAATAAATGTAAATGTACTTTGGCGCCGTAAAGTTTCTCTGACCTTCGAGGCCAGAATTTCCTATTCATCCACTGACCACATTTTAAGAGCTTGTTAATGGAGGCATTGACTTGCAGCAAGCAGCTTTTCTTTGCATCCTTTACAGCTTCCAGTAACATTAAACAAAGCCGAAGCTTCCTAAACATCCACTGAGACTTAAACTCTATAAGGTCAAACCATATATCTATTCAGAGTGTAGACAGAATACAGAGAGATAAACCTTTTATTTTTTTAAAACAGGTTTTTGTATACTGTTGTCTTTTCTCTTCCACAGACTGAGATATAGGCTGCTTTTTGGTTGCTGATATGAAGCAGGGTGTTCTTTATCTTTCCTTATTTGCTTTGTCTAAGACAGAAGGACACACAGTAGGGTATTGCAGTCAAGGTGCAAAGGTCAGATCCATACATATTTAGATATGTATGGAAGGGACTTTGGGACGGAGTTAAAAAAGGGTAAAAGTAATTTGATTTGTGTGACCTCTAAATTAATGGCTGTAAAGTGTGTATGAAAGGCAGTGAGGTCAAATATGAAAGGCAAAAAGGTCAAATCCATACATATATAGATTACACACATATGGAAAGGACTTTGGGAGGGAGTTAAAAAAGCTAAAAGTAATTTGGCTGTAAAGTGTGTATGAAAGGCAGTGGAAACATTAACACAGCTGATAACTTTCACTGCCTGCTGAATCTCTTCCTGTTTGCACACACATACACATGAATGAGCACAAGTTTCCATGGGGATGGGAAAGTGTGGCGCCAGGCACGTACTGTGTCCACTGATCTCGGGTCATTGATAATCTCACCCCCAACACTGCGACAACATAGTTCGTAACAAAGGCAACCTCATATACCAGTTTTACAATATAATAATGGATTGTTTCTAACAAACTAAACTTAACTGAACTTATTTAAAACTGAGATTCAAGTGGGTGTGAGAGTGTGTTTGGGTGTGTTAGATCTTGTCTAATTACCCTAAATGTAGTTTGTCAGCCAAGGCATGTTTGGTATCTGTTAGTCGTTAATGTGTGAATATAAGGAGAATCATAATGTGTTGATTTGAAAATATTGAATTGGAAACAGTATTCCAATATTTAAGTATAACTAAAAATGACAACTCATTAGGGTACAAGGCGGGGGACACCCTTGACAGGAAGCCAACCCATTGCAGGGCACAATCACATACACACACACACACAATTTGGAACAGCCTACAACACATGTCTTTGGACTGGGGAGAGCATGCAAGCTCTGCACACAGGAGGTGGAGGTGGGATTCAAACCCCCAACCCCAGAGGTGCAAGGCAACAGTGCTAACCACTAAACCACTAAACCGTCAAACATGGCTTTTGATTTTCTGCCTCCAAAGCTGTACTGAAGGCAAACAACCTCATTGAAAATGGGTTATTATTATTGAAAACAAGTAATCTAATCTAAATAGCAAGCTATACATGTTAGGTAGCTGATTCTAGCTAGGATTGGTAAGAGCATTTTTGTGAGCACAGCGTGTGAGTTGCCTGAGCTTTTTTTTTTAATATCACTATAAATGATCCAGCCAGCATTTCTTCTTTGTTAAAAAAAATGGCAAGTGTGAAATCACCCTAAGCAACATTAGCTTCATAGTGGGTGGATGATATTAGCAAGAGATGCAGCAGTGGAATGTGTGTCCATTTAGGAAAGACATCAGAGGTTACTGCTTAGTGCTGTGAGCTTAGTGATGCAAAATAGCATTAAAGTGCAAGTAAATAAGTTAACCGTTTTCAGTTTAAGTGTGGGTGTGTGTGTGTGTGTGGACTGCACTCTTTCACACCAGGTTTGAGAGGCATACACAGAAGCCACACCTCCTTTACATCTTCACACATCTTCTACTTTAAGCCAAAATGAATAATGTTTGTCTTCATCAGTGTTCCTGTGTGTTCTAGGTTTTAAAACAGTTCTCCTTAAGGCTGCGTTTGCGATGTGCCACTTGGTTTTGCCACTGTGTTTGTGTTGTGTTTACGAGAGCAGAGGGCTGCACCGTGTGAGGCGTCACTTTCACACAATCCGGAAAGGTCTGGCAAGCAAAGCTGTGGAAATGCGGATCACCAGCTGCTGCCCATCCCAGGAGTGTAGGGAGACTGTGTGTGTGTGTGTGTGTGTGTGTGTGCGCGCGCATGGAGCTTAAACAGGTGCTGGTGAAACTCAATCCTCACTTCACAACACCCACACTCCCCCTCCTCTCTCTGTCTCTCTCTCTCTCTCTCTCTCTCTCATCTCTTTCCCTAGAGCCCTTCAGAACATGCGTAGCTCTCTGTCTGCCACCCTAGCCCATTATTCCAGCCACTAATGACCTTTAACCCCTTTAACAGGAGCAGAACAAAGGGTTCTAACCTATTAGGTCTCAGTTTGGCCAAAATAAGAAACCTTAGAAGACAGTTGTCCTTGTGCTGCCTTCTACAGGAAATAAACTTGATTTCAGGAGCAAATCACTGACTAAAACTTGCTGCATTCCACCCGAATGGAACCAGGGTTAGTTACAGTAATTTGAATATTTTGAATACTGTAATATATTGAATAGTCAGCATCTGACCATGAGTGTTGAAGAAGCCTTTATGATTGCAGATATAAAAAGTTAACAGTTATAGCTTGTCTTATTATTGATTTCCTAACTTAAGCACATAACATAAAGGTGTCTATTATCATCACATTTTCTGTGCTTGAGCTGATTTTAGCCTTTTGCTTGTAACCAGGATCAAAACCAAGGCTTGAAAATATATGTGTGCATTATTTTTTTGTATATTTGTGAAAATACATTAATTGTAACAGGTTATATTTACTTAAAAGTAAACCAATGCCTAATGTATGAGTTTCTTGGTAGCAATTAGACTATAACAGGAAGATTTCAACACAGTTACAGTTGCTCAGTTACTCCACAGTGGGTAAATAATTAATTTAATTCAGAGAACGATCAGAGTCAGAATTTACAAACAATCCTGACAGTGCTCCATTTCTACATCTGAGGGGACATAGTGATATGGTTCATATTTAGGCCATGCCTACTTTGGGTTTAAGTCCAAATACAGATACAGATATTGCTTTACATCCTAATACATACATACATACATACACTATATGACCAAAGGTTTGTGGACATCTGACCATCACACCCATATGTGCTTTTTGAACATCCCGTTCCAGGTTTAGTCCCCTCTTTCCTGTTATAATAACCTCCACTCTTCTAGGAAGGCTCTCTACAAGATTTTGGAGTGTGGCTGTGGGGACAAAGGTGTTGAGGTCAGGGCTCTGTGAAGACCACACGAGTTGTTCCACTCCAAACTTGGCAAACCATGTCTTCATGGAGCTCGCTTTGTGCACAGGGGCATTGTCATGCTGGAACATGTTTGAGCCCTTTAATTCCAGTGAAGGGAAATTGTAATGCTACAGCGTACAAAGACATCCTATACAATTGTGGCAACAGTTTGAGGAAACAACACATATGGGTGTGATGGTCAGGTGTCCACAAACCTTTGGCCATTTAGTATCCATACTTAATTTAAATACTTACAATTCTTTTGTATTTTCTTATTTTATTGGACCGCTAAAGAAAATTTTATTGTTTCAACCAGCGAACACATAAACATAGTCTGTGTATAAGATATAATGCACAAATCATTTAAACTCAAATATAATTGTAATGTAGTCCATGATGAATTGTATTCTGAATGACTGTCTAAGGCAGCTCCACATGGCTGAATGTGTGTGTGTGTGTGTGTGTGTGTTCATTCAAGCACTGCTGGTTGTCTGTGTAGATAAGAGGAACGTGAGACGAGCTGTCAGTCACTATGCTAACAGCCTAATGAGTGCTGACGGATCCTGAATGACAAAGGCCCGTTTTGCTGCCTGATAGGAATGCTTGATTATACCACGGTGCATTAGCAAAGTGAGCTAATGCTTACCATTAGCATCATCTTTCTGTGTCTCTTACACACACTCATGCAAAGGAGGGCTGCTGGGTCATTTATCAGGTGAATGCTGGAGTTAGACTTTGCACTCTTGCTGTGTTTGCTGTCTTTTGTCATGCGGCTGTAGTTATTTAAGATGACAACTTCATACTCCACCCTGCCAAATCTGACTCTTTCCCTCTTTCTTTTTTTGGTTCTTTATTCCTTTCTCTTCTCCCAAACATGTATCATGGTCTGGGTTAATTTGGTGAATGTTGCTGGAGTTGAATTCTCCAAAAAGCTAAAAAAGTCAAAATAAAGTCACTACAATATTATTTGCACTAATTACCTAGCCTGCTTCATAACTTGCACATTTTATTAATTATATGTCACAAATTTCTTCCTATTATGTACAGTCTTCTGTGATTTCCATTAGATACATATTTTCTTTTCATAATTTGTTATAATAGAGAATATACTATACTATATACTATACACTATATAATATACTATATACTATATAATATGATATATTATTCTAATAGCTGGAGATGCAAACCTAAGTTCATTGTACTCGTACGTGGCCTATAATGGTATTCTGTACGATTCTATTCCTTTCGTTTCGTGTGAGGATGTCATCAGGCTTTGATGAAGTTGTTGTATAGCTTTGTGCCATAGTGAAACAGATATAAGCCTGATAAATTCAGTTTGTAATCAGAGACCTGACCGGCTGTGAAAATGTCCTTGATGCTCCTGTGCCAGAATTGGAAAAATCTTTAAATGTGATTTTTTTTTCTCTCATTTTTCACTTTTGGCTCTAACCAGACTTTACGTGCAGGTCAGTAAGTAAAGAAAGTAGGAAGAGGAAAGAACATGAAGGCAGTTCATTTCACCACCTTGGAAGGGTGTGTGTGCCCCCAGAGGAAGGGATGAAGGTTTCTTTTCTGTTCCGGCAAAGTCAGCAACAATGAAAAGTGAAGTAGAGAGAGAATATCAAGAAGGAGAGAGAGAAGGAAGAGAGGAGAGGTGAAAGAGGAGCCTTTGATCCTACGGTGAGACAAAAACCTGCCAAGGCATGCTTGCTGGAGAGTGAAGGGGAGTGGGAGGAGCGTGCACGCACTGACACACACACTCACACACCCACCTACTTCCATACACACACACACACACACATGCACAAAGGTAGGAAAGTTCAAAGTTTGCTAGTGGCAAATCGCATTGACTCGCCGTCTCTGCAGGTTAGTCCGGAGTTTCATTCAGCTGTCAATGCGCTTGTCAAGGAACTCGAGCAACCGGGAAAGAATAAGGTAGAAAAGGAGGAACTAACTAAAGAAGGAAAAAAGAAAGCAATCTGGAATTGGCACTGTAAAGAGGTACAGATTAGTATGTCCTTTCTCCTTCTTCTCCTCTTTGAAAGCAGCCTTTGTGTACCTCTCTCTCTCTCTCTCTCTCTCTGTCTGTCTCTGTCTCTCTGTTCCTCCGCAGTAATATGATCCTCTGATCCAGGGATAGACTGAGTCCCACTTTCAACACTCTTCTCTTCAATCTGAATGCAGTGTGTGTACCTTGTGCAGGCAGCGCTTGTTATAACTGCGTAGGTGTGCTTAGCATTGGTAGATGTTAGTGTCTGTGACATTGTACTATGATTTAAAAAAGACAAAGACAGTCTATATAGAAGAAAAACACCACAGTAGGATCCTAATAGGTGAAAATAGGGTTATTAGAGGTTTCAGCGGGTTCTTCGTTCAAATCCCAGGACTGCTGGAGACTGACTCGACTGCTAGATGCTTGCATTGGATTCTGCCTCACGTGTAAGTCTTTTTGGATATAAAACATCTGCCAAAAAATGCAGGTAAATGAAATGCAAATATTTGCAGAATAGTATTGTAGTGCTGTTATAGAATATTAGGGATGCATCAGTATAGATACTGGCTGAGTGTGAGAACAATTCAGTTTTGCGAGTACTGAGCACTGAGACGCGTATGCTTGCTTTCTCCAGGGTCTACACTTTGCTTGTGGAGCCAAGATGCAATTCAGATGCAGCATGTGTGTTTAAGTCGGCCGCCTTCTCTCTCTCTTAAATGAATTTAAACAATGTTCCACTTACTCATATATATATATATATATTGTATATATATATGTCCTGATGCCCTGGTAGCTAATAAGTACTGGAAGTTTGTCTTACTCTAGTCTCTTTTAGTTTAGCTCTTTCAGTTTAGCTCTTTTAGAATCTGGTACATACATATCACCAAACCTGGCCAAGCACTGCCTACTTTCACAGGAAGGAGTCATTTGACTGGCAGAGCAAACAGCCAACCATGTTTCCCGCTTGCATGATATCTCAAAAAACGAGTGGTTAAATGTTTGCACGATTAATTATTGTAACCTGCAGTTGAACTGATTTTGAAATGACTT